TGTTAATATAAATGTTGAAGTCTATCTCCGTATTCACTCATTATTTAAAATTTAAATTTCTATTTCCTATTGTCTATTGGCTATTATAACGATTATAAAGAATAACAATTAACATTATATCTGTGTGACTGTGGTGTGACGAAATCTTTTTTAAATCTTTTTATTTAAAAAAAAAAAATTATTATTAGTTTGTAAATAGGTAGTTAATACAATTTAATAAATTAAATACTTATACCTTTCTTAAACACCAAAATAATATAAAAAAAAGGTGGGCAAGTGGATGTCGCTCTGCTGTACAGTAGGTTACAAGTGGGTCACTGTATAATATGGATGATATTAAATTTGAATTTAACGATATAATATCATTGTATAACTGTATAAGAAAAACGATTCTGAGCGGAGACGGTATGTCGGTATTTTCCCAGGTCTCGGACTCTCGGTACAGAATGATTTAATATTTCTAAAATCGCATTTTTTCGTTCTTGTTCAAACGATAAAAAATTTAGAAAAATCAAATTTACCATTAATTGAGTCGGTTGAAATGGTACAAAATGTTATATCAAGTATGCAAAGTATTCCTGGCACCAAAGGTTCTGAAATAAAAAATAAAATTCTACAGCTTCAGCAAAAAAATAAAGGATTTAAAATTTAAATTGATGATACAAATTGTAAAAGTTATAACTGGGGACAACAACGTGACACTTCCTCAAGATGTATCTCCTAGTATAGCTACAGACCTGAAAAAATGCTCCTACGACGTCTGTCGATGTTGAGAGATCATTCAGCATATAGGTATATAAGACAATAATCACGGACCGCCGTACTAAGTTTACTCCGGAAAATTTAGAAAAATATATTATTGTTCATTCCTTTAAAAACATTGTATAATTTTTTTTTTTATGTTAATGTTTTGCATGTAACATAACATATAACTATGTAACATAACTATATAAGATAATACAGGTAATTATTAATTAATAATTATATAAATTATAATAAATTATAAATTCATAATCATAATTAATCATTATCATATTGCATGTTTAATATAAGTTATAACTAAATAACATATAAAAAAATTTTAAGATATTATTTATATTTCTTGCTTATTAGTTACTATAATCAATATTTTTCAGAATATTTTGAGAATATTAAGAATATTTTTAGGAATATTTCATAAATTTCAACTGCATATAAACATCATATTTCAAACGTTTTAACAGAATATAAATCCGGACTCTACATATTATATACATATCTATGGTATAAAACAAATAAATTGACCTTTAATAGGTACCTACCTATAATAAATTCCAAATTAATCATATCACAATATCCATTAGGTACTTATAACGCGTTATACACCAACAACAAACCCTGATACTATCATAGATATATAGTAGTATACTTTAGGGATATACTTTATGCGTTATACATTAACAAAAGCCGTGATACAAGTAGAAGTTTCAAGTACCCACGAATAATATAAAATTGAAAACTTAAAATGTCCGTAAACAGCCCAAAAAGATTCAAAATATTTTCAAAACTGTATTGGGTATAGTAAATGCTAATATAAACATTCAGTAAAATTGCCATGTATCTACAGTAATTCGTTTTTGAATTACAACAAAATAAGGAAATCGCTACATGAGAAATCGAGTGAATATACAATGTTGTAAAAATTTGAATTTCAAACGCTTATAAAAATTTAATTTGAATTTCTTATAGACATTCTTTAATTTATGTCTAAGACATATTTAGATTATGTTAGGTACACGAATTTTTTAAAATTGTTTATATTTTTTGTTCTCTAAATAATTCATATATTTTGGTAGAATTTATTAAATAAATATTTATTTTGTATATTTGTCATACTGTTTTAAATCAAACAAATAGAATTTCATCACTTTCCAATTTCCATTATTCATATAACAATACATAAGAATTAATTAACAGTAAGCATATAGATAAGGTATTATATACAAAGTATTATAGTTTTATTATTATATATATATATAGTTAATTGTAACCCACTGTACAGCGGTGCGACATCCACTTACCCACCTTTTTTCTTAATTAAATATTAAATAATAATATGTCACTTTTGGTGTGCGTAACTCAGCTTCGTTAAAAAAAATCACGCACTCAAATCAACCTAATTACGATTTTCGCACAAATTCATATACATAGTGTATGGGAAATGCCGATATAAACATTCAGTGACATTTTCATGTATCTACAGAAATTCGTTTTTGAATTATAACAAAATAAAGAAATCGCTATATGAGAAATCGAGTGAATATCCAATGTTGTAAAAATTTGAATTTCAAACACTCATAAAAATTTAATTTGACTTTCTTATAGACATTTTTTTTTTGATGAAGGTAGATAATCTTATAAGAAATCTTGGATTACATTTTAAAATCTTAGATTTAAAAAAAAAATTTTTTACGAATTATTAACTCAAAATAATTTGCTAATTTTCGCGATTTTTCCATATTTTGTCAATTTTTGAACTTTAAATGCTTATAAAAAAAAACTGTGACTAACGATTTTTAATATTTTTAATCTGCCTTTGAAACAATATACTAGGAGCCTTCTATTAAATTTTCAAGTTTTTTTAACCAACAAATAAAATTTTATTGATATTTCTAGAAAAAAAACTAAAAAAAAATTAAAAATGAAAATGTCCCTCAACAGTTCAAAATAAATCAAATATTTTGAAAATGTTATCGTGTATAGGAAATGCAAATATAAACAACCAGTGAAAATGTCATGTATCTACGGTCATTTGTTTTAAAGTTACACCAAAAACCAAATTCAATTTTCTGAAAAATCGATTTTGCGTAAAAATTCCCGTTTTTTCTTAATTTTTCTTTTGTTTTTCTTGGCGCTTTTGAAAAGTACTGGGAATTTTAAATTTTGACCTCCTCAATGCATCAACGATATTCACTTTCCAATCGAACAAGATACTGAAGTCGAAAATCGAAGCATTATTTCGACTACTTATCGTGTACACAGACACAAAAATAAAAAAAAATTTAAAAAAAAATATAAAAACACACATCATTGTAAAATCAATACATTCATCGTTCCACTCAGAATCTAAAATATTCTAAGAAACCAGATAATATTATTTTATCAAATGGTTTTAATAAGTAAGGTTACCTCAATTTTAATAATGAATATTATTAATAATGTAAGTTTTTATTACGTTTTTTTCCATTAATTAACCCTCGGCTACTTAGGCCATTGGGTGGTTTTTAACTGTGGGTATTGTAGGTTTGTAAACACGTGTGTTTTATTACGTTCTACCATTGATTATAATAAAATTAGTAAGTACCAACCAGTGTTGGGAATAGATAACTAAATAATTATCTAGATAAGATAAGATAATTTTAACAAAATATTATCTAGATAAAAATAATGATAACATAAATGCAATTTATCTAGATAAAGATAAATACAACAATACATTTATCTAGATAAATATCATTTTTTTACACTTATTTTTAATGTTTTTTAGTATTTTTTTAATATTAAATTTCTATCAATATAATGACATAATATTTATAAAAACAACGTTATGAGACTTTAAATTTAACTATTTGAATATTATACCTATAAGAATGAAACATCAAAACATTTAAACCATGAATACTAGTATTCCACTGTTCAAAATTATGTAGTTAGCTGACTCTTTATTCTTTAATACTATAATATTTCTACCCCTACTTATATAAATGCATACAATAATGAATTAATAATAATTGATACATTTTAATACAAAACTAGTCAAGTAAAAAATAATTAATTTGTATTATCTCAAGGAAAAGTCAGTTCTAAATAAATCTTGTCAAATGCCTATGTATGCACTGATAGGCTATAGCCACTTGTAAATCATATTAAACCAATATTAAAAAAGGATGAACCAAGGATGAACTTAAATATTTAAAAAACATTTAAACAGTAAATAATACATTATAATCAAAGTTTGGTAAGAAATAGTTGAATGCTAAAATATAAGCAAATTGTTTTATTATTGAATACCTACAACATTTTTAGTAGTTCATAAGACAAAAAAAAAAAATAATTATAAAATTACAACTGTATAATATTAATAAAAAAAAATATTTTATAACAAAAACAAAAAACAATGTTTATAAACCTTTTGTTAGAACTACATGACATTAGAACTTGTTTGAATTAAGATTCTGACATCTACAACAAAATTAACATTTTTAATAGTTCATAAGACAAAAAAAAAATTATAAAATTACAACTGTATAATATTAATAAAAAAAAATATTTTATAACAAAAACAAATAACAATGTTAATAAACCTTTTGTTAGAACTACATGACATTAGAAGTTGTTTGAATTAAGATTCTGACATCTACAACACAAAAGCATTTCAAATGTTTTATCATTTAAATGATTTCTTCTTGGTGTCATGATTTGTGATCCACTACTAAATAAACGCTCTACTGGTGCAGAAGAGGGAAGTGTTGTATTGTATTTGAAAAACATTTTTTTTATGATTGGAAATGAATTAAGAACATTAAAATCTTTATTTTTTGAGTTTAAATATTCCATAGCTTGAGCATTAATACAATTATGATTGCTTTGAATATCAATATCCACATCTAAACAATTCTCTGATAGGACTTGAAAAAATTCTTGGTCACTGCTATCACTATCAACATTTTCATCAGTATTCAAAACAGCATCTTTATCAGTATTAATTAAATAGCACTCATCAAAAAATATTTGTTTACAATATGATTTGTATCTATTGGGTACCCAGGATTGTTTAAACTTTGGGTGTCTTATAGCAGATAAAATGAAGGATTTACTTTTGACTTTTTTTAAATCAAATATATAATCAAATCTCTTCTACAAACTGCTTATAATATTAAAACATAAAGGTCTACAGTGGACCAAGTTATCCATCTGTATTAATAAAAGTCTTAATGCCAGTATAGTGGGGGCAACAAAACCTAAATGACAAGACCTTTCACCTTGCAATTTATCCGATGATATTGCAAGGGGCCCATCACCTTACAATATTCTTCTAAAAAACTCCATTCATTTTTTTTCATTTTTTTCATTTTTAACTCATTAAACACCAAGACTAAATTCTGTTTATTTGTAACTACTTTATGTACAGCATCATACATAGAATTCCATTTTGTCAAATTAGGAACTGGAAATTTACAACTACATAAATCAAAAACTTTATCTGAGACTACAGTACTTCGACTAAGAAGATTCCAAAATGATGATAGATTTTTAAATGTAATTTTTGAAATTGAATTATAGGCTTGATCAACTATTTTGGCAGTATCAACTGAAGCTATTAGATTTAACGTGTGTGCTGAACATGTTAAATGACTTGGTAGAGACATTGTATTAGTAATTGTTTCTTTATGATTTAACATCAATGAAGACAAATCTACAACATAAAATTCAAGATTAGAATCATTTACATCATCATCACTACTTATGTTAACATCGCTATCTGAGTCATCACTACTTATTAAGCCTAAATAATTTGAATCAGAAATATGTGTATCAGTCACATTAAATTGTTTTGAAAATGTACGAAATGCCTTGCCAAAATTTGAGGCATTGTCAGTAACTACATGGGTAACTTTTTCATTTTCAATTTTAAAGTCCAGCATTATTTCTTTGATTACTTTGGCAATATTTAAATAAGTATGATTTCCTTTTATACGCCTGCAAGCTAATATATAAGAATACCTACTGTAGTTAAGTTCATCGATAAAATGACAAGTCATTCCTAAACAGCTCTTATTGTTGGAACTCCAAATATCAGCAGTAACACACACATAACTTTGTTTTTCAATAAATCCAGTTAACATTTCTACATAAGCTTTATATTTATGGTTTAGTTCACTGACAAGAGCTTTTCTGTATGGAAGTACAATAGAATCTGATGTAAGGCCTCGAATCAACCGTTTGAATGATGGTTTTTCACATGTTGCTAGAGGTTTCATTTCGTCAACAATGTAGTTAAAAACTAAATCCTTCACCTGTAATAAAATAATTATAATATAATTATAATTTGGAAAGACATAAAATAGTTAAGTAGATGTATTTATATAATTGCTATTTGCTTATGATTTTTTTTTTATATATATATTGAAAGTTATATAAACTAGAAAGTATTTTTTAATTTATATATTGAATCATATTTTTTCAAGTTAACTTGACTTAATAATTTCAATTTTATTTCAAGATGTTATAAAGTATTTAATTTTTCAAATGGTTTTATTTTAAAACACACTTACGTTTTGGAATTGTCACAAAATCATCCCACAGATATAAAAATAAAAATGAGTTAAGCCGTTGATATACCCACGACTTAAGTTATTAGTATATTAATGTACAGATAGTTACTAACCAGTTCTTTTGACACTTTTGGAGTATCATAGATTTTTGTTTGAATCATTGTTGATGTTTCTTGATCTTTTTTTTTCTTGCGTCTTCTACTTTCGACATCAACGAGTTATGTTTCCGCTATAAATATTAGATAAATTCAACTATATGTTTAAAATATAGTTCAATTATAAGAATAAAAATATTAGAACCTGTATACAATATAGCCATGTTTAAGTTACTTAGATCAGTTAGGCCTTAGGCGTAGCTTTTTGGTTATTATGTTTATAATTATTTATACTTTTAAAATTAGCATTGCGAGAAGTTTGCGACATGATTTCAAGATGAACTATATAGATATTCATTGAACGGAAAACCCATCTCTTGACACGGGATCTTCTTGATTGAATACTTTTTGTATTTATTATATCTGTAAAAATTAAATAAACATCATATTTTAGAAATTTAACTTATATTAATTTTAATTTTCTCGTGGTTATAAACGTAGTTGACAATTAATAAGGAATATATTAAAATCAAAATATTTTTATGAATAATTACAGATTGCAATTGTAACTTAACATTAGAAAAAAATATATATTAATATAAAGAAAAGGGAATTTTGGTTATAAACTACAGTATTTACTGCACGGCCTTGCTTTATATTCATTTATTATTAAGACCTTTTTACTCATATTAAATTGTAGCAAGTATATAATATTGTTAATTTTATCCATTTTAAAAGAAATAGTTAAAAGTTGTTACATTATATAGCAAAATACAACCTTGTATATAAGAAAAAACCATAATAATAGAATGATAATTGATACTTAAAAAAGTTAATACAAAATAAAATGACAAGTAATTCAATTTTTAAGTACCTTTATCTCAGTGAGCAGCGCCTGGTTTTAATCTGTTCTTTAATTCAGTATTCATGAAACATGATAGTTCAAAACTCATAACAATTTCAGCACGGTGTTTTTTTTATTCTGTATTTTCCTATACACATTTTTCTCAACGTTAAATCCTTAAGAAGAAAGTAAATGTATTATTCTTATTATAAAACATAATATTATTAATGTTTATAATAATTTATACTTTTAAAATTAGCATTGCGAGAAGTTGAGTGTAAAGAAACTAATAAGGTTGTTTTTGGTCGATTCCACGTTTGCGACATGATTTCAAGATAAACTAGATAGATTTTCATTTGAACGGAAAACCCATCTCTTGACACTGGGTCTTCTTGATTGAATACTTTTTGTATTTATTATATCTGTAAAAATTAAATAAACATCATATTTTAGAAATTTAACTTATATTAATTTTCATTTTCTCGTGGTTATAAACGTAGTTGACAATTAATAAGGAATATATTAAAATCAAAATGTTTTTATGAATAATTACAGATTGCAATTGTAACTTAACATTAGAAAAAAATATATATTAATATAAAGAAAAGGGAATTTTGGTTATAAACTACAGTATTTACTGCACGGCCTTGCTTTATATTCATTTATTATTAAGACCTTTTTACTCATATTAAATTGTAGCAAGTATATAATATTGTTAATTTTATCCATTTTAAAAGAAATAGTTAAAAGTTGTTACACTATATAGCAAAATACAACCTTGTATATAAGAAAAAACCATAATAAGAGAATGATAATTGATACAAAAAAAAGTTAATACAAAATAAAATGACAAGTAATTCAATTTTTAAGTACCTTTATCTCAGTGAGCAGCGCCTGGTTTTAATCTGTTCTTTAATTCAGTATTCATGAAACATGATAGTTCAAAACTCATAACAATTTCAGCACGGTGTTTTTTTATTCTGTATTTTCTTATACACATTTTTCTCAACGTTAAATCCTTAAGAAGAAAGTAAATGTATTATTCTTATTATAAAACATAATATTATTAATGTTTATAATAATTTATACTTTTAAAATTAGCATTGCGAGAAGTTGAGTGTAAAGAAACTAATAAGGTTGTTTTTGGTCGATTCCACGTTTGCGACATGATTTCAAGATAAACTAGATAGATTTTTATTTGAGCGGAAAACCCATCTCTTGACACTGGGTCTTATTGATTGAATACTTTTTGTATTTATTATATCTGTAAAAATTAAATAAACATCATATTTTAGAAATTTAACTTATATTAATTTTCATTTTCTCGTGGTTATAAACGTAGTTGACAATTAATAAGGAATATATTAAAATCAAAATGTTTTTATGTATAATTACAGATTGCAATTGTAACTTAACATTATTAAAAAATATATATTAATATAAAGAAAAGGGAAATTTGGTTATAAACTACAGTATTTACTGCACGGCCTTGCTTTATATTCATTTATTATGAAAACCTTTTTACTTATATTAAATTGTAGCAAGTATTTAATATTGTTAATTTTATCCATTTTAAAATAAATAGTTTAGAGTTGTTACACTATATAGCAAAATACAACCTTGTATATAAAAAAAAACCATAATAATAGAATGATAATTGATACAAAAAAAAGTTAATACAAAATAAAATGACAAATAATTCAATTTTTAAGTACCTTTATCTAAGATTAAAGATGTAGCAGCGCCTGGTTTTAATCTGTTCTCTAATTCAGAATTCATGAAACATGATAGTTCAAAACTAATAACAATTTCAGCACGGTGTTTTTTTATTCTGTATTTTTCTATCCACATTTTTCTCAACGTTAAATCCTTAAAAAGAAAGTAAATGTATTATTCTTATAATTAAACATAATATTATTAATGTTTATAATAATTTATACTTTTAAAATTAGCATTGCGAGATGTTTGCGATAAGATTTCAAGATGAACTAGATAGATTTTCATTTGAACGGAAAAACTATGTCTTGACACGGGATTTTCTTGATTGAATACTTTTTGTATTTATTATATCTGTAAAAATTAAATAAACATCATATTTTAGAAATTTAACTTATATTAATTTTAATTTTCTCGTGGTTATAAACGTAGTTGACAATTAATAAGGAATATATTAAAATCAAAATATTTTTATGAATAATTACAGATTGCAATTGTAACTTAACATTAGAAAAAAATATATATTAATATAAAGAAAAGGGAATTTTGGTTATAAACTACAGTATTTACTGCACGGCCTTGCTTTATATTCATTTATTATTAAGACCTTTTTACTCATATTAAATTGTAGCAAGTATATAATATTGTTAATTTTATCCATTTTAAAAGAAATAGTTAAAAGTTGTTACACTATATAGCAAAATACAACCTTGTATATAAGAAAAAACCATAATAAGAGAATGATAATTGATACTTAAAAAAGTTAATACAAAATAAAATGACAAGTAATTCAATTTTTAAGTACCTTTATCTCAGTGAGCAGCGCCTGGTTTTAATCTGTTCTCTAATTCAGAATTCATGAAACATGATAGTTCAAAACTAATAACAATTTCAGCACGGTGTTTTTTTATTCTGTATTTTTCTATCCACATTTTTCTCAACGTTAAATCCTTAAAAAGAAAGTAAATGTATTATTCTTATAATTAAACATAATATTATTAATGTTTATAATAATTTATACTTTTAAAATTAGCATTGCGAGAAGTTTGCGACATGGTTTTTCAAGATGAACTAGATAGATTTTCATTTGAACGGAAAACCCATCTCTTGACACGGAACCTTCTTGATTGAACTTTTTGTATTTATTATATCTGTAAAAATTAAATAAACATCATATTTTAGAAATTTAACTTATTTTCATTTTCATTTTCTTGTAGTTATAAACCCGTTATGAGACAGTTAAGACATAAAATAATTATAATTAATATTTTATAAAAAAAATCAAATATTTTGCGAGTCAAGCTTATGGGAACAAAGTCTCTTTTTTGGCATAATTAATTGTTAACTTGCCACGCTCTCATTCTCTCTACCCACCTATCTCTTGAATTTTAATTGTTGATGCATGACGTTGAAGACCAAGGCCCTATATATTCAATATGGAAAGCACGGAAAATAAAAAAAAAAGATAAAGGTTTTAGACTGTATTGACAATGATTATTAATAATATTAATACTTATTTACTGACCGGCACATTTTAATTACTCATATCCTCGTTGTTTCTAGTAAGTCTAGATGACCGTCTTGGTGATTTAAAATTATTTACAACAGCATTTCCAATATGTTCTTCTCTGTAAAATTCAGATTCTATGCAATCACTTTCATTATAATAATCCAAATTTCTAGATTTTCAAATAATTGTAAAAACTAAATTTAGTCAAATACAATTTTCATAAACTCACTTTATAATATTTTCTTCCATTGGTAAAATTACATTATTTAGAGTTTCGACATCATTACTTTGAGTAGCATAACCATAAACATAAAAATATTGTTGAAAATGGAAAATTAAATTATAGAGATCCAGAAGTATTACTTAGAAAGAAAACCATTTTGATCAAAAGGTTGGGGAGTAGCATTTGAAAATTAAAGTCGCTTTTTTCCTGGTTTATAGTTTTCTACCAAAAAATGATCACTACCTACACATACGTTGCCAATCGTGACAACGATCAATTCCAAAAACTTTAAGTCATTTTTTTCTCACGTATGTATTAGGTATTGTTAATTCTATATTAAAACAAATATAATATAATATCTGTGTTGTTCTGTGGTTATATCGCCGAGTACAATTTATTGTACAAAGCAGATGAATGAAATCAAAACACGCAAAGAAAAAACGACCGAACAGTGATAAGCGGAACTCCTGTTATCACGGTCTTTGAGTATAAAATATCAGTAACGGTCACTTTTGTTCGAAATTATCAAATGGCCCCCGACAGTAGTAATAAAATTCTGTTCGTTCTACCTCCACGTGAGCGGTACTATTCTACGATCTAAGACATTACCTACACGTTAACATGAGCAAAATCACTAACGAACAATTATTACGTAGGAATGAATAAATCGGGAAAGTATTCCGTACCTACCTATATCTACCTACTTAGTCAGAGCCGCATTTAGACAAAAAAATTGCAATAAATGTATCATTTATATAATTTTATACCTCCAA